GCAACCCAAACTGCTGAACGGATCTCGATGAAATTTGGCATAGATGTAGAGGATAGTCTGGAAGAACACAAAGCCTATTCACTTTTGTTTTTTTTTAATTCAACGCGGACAGAGTCGTGGGCGAAAGCTCGTTTAGTATAAAACTTACCTTCTGTCTATAAAATATTAATATAAATAAACCCATTATATTATTTACTGAAGCAGTAAATGGCAATATCAATACTATTCACATAACAATTATTTTAATAGGAACCTTTTTATGTAGGGCTGTGAAATTAACAATCTAGATTTCTTATATTTTAATAATCTCATAACATATTTTCATTATAATTTGATACATGTAGAAGAGAATTGTAGCTACAGTCTACATAATACTGATCTAATTTAAAAAATAAATTATTTCTTTATTGTTTTTGACAACCCTAAACATAGAGAGGAAACCTCGTGCCCGATAATTTGTAGAATAACGAGCTATATGGCCGCGCAGATAAAATTACGCTAATTAAATTTCAAATCTGAAAACATCCACGTGAATCCATACTTTTCTTTCGTTTTAATGTGAGTTTCCATTGCTGAAATACCTGTACAAACACATGTTATGTCTATTTTTTAGAATTATGAAAGAGAGAACAATATTTCATACATCAACAGTAAAAACGCGGTAATCTTCATATTTTCAAAGAACTTCTGATTCTAAAAAAATTGTGTTTTAACATATCGCCATTCCAACAGTGGTGTAGGCAGATATTACGGTCCGATTCCGATACTTCTAACATCCATACATACTTGTCAAATAACCAACAGCTTTCAGCTATAAAAGTAACATTTTTCAACTAATGCATTATAAACTGCATTTCTAAATATATAGACAGCAGAAAAGTAATAAAAATGGATCCATCGTAAAACCGTCGTTTTATTGTTTAATAAAAACCAAATAACTCTCAAGTGGCCAGTTCCGTATAACATTTTTAACACGTTCGTTGTCTTGAGATTTTTTTTAATACGTGAAAAGCATTTCACGTCTTAAAATATTACTAATAAATTATAAATTATACGAAAAGAACACTTATTTTCCTTTTTTAATTATCCTAATCCTAGGGTAAATCTTTCTCTTGTCATCAATTATCTTACTAATCTCACTAATATTATAAATGCGAAAGTTTAGATGGATGTGTTAGGGTTTGTAGCCTAAACTGCTGAACGGATCTCGATGAAATTTGGCATAGATGTAGTCTGAGACAACACATACGCTACTAACTTTGTTTAATTCCACACGGACTTCGCGGGAGAAAACTAGTAAAGAATATGAGAAGAAAGAAATCCAGTGATGTTTCAAAGTACCTTTAAATAAAGAACACTATCTCAGTCTATCTTCGACGTAACAAAAAAAAAATAAAAATTATCGTCTTAAAATACGGAACTCTACAACACTGGCCAGTTTTATTCTCGGGTTTTCAATAATATATAGCTGTCAAATTAAAACTAAAATGGCAACACAGATTATAGGTATATAAATCTTCTGTGGATCGCTAAATGATAATAAGCTGTTGTCCGCGACTTTCTTGCGCGGAATTAAAAAAAATATTAGTAACCGTGTATGAATAAACTATGCTCTACATCTATGCCTTTCAGCGATATCTGTTCTAGAGATACCTTCAAACATCCAGCCATCTGAAATTTCGCATTTATATTAGTAAGATTAATAAATAAACAAGTTTTTGCATGTTACGCTTCTCTACTTAATAATAGTGTTGGAAACGAGATATAAATAGTGCTTGTTTCGTCTCTTTTTGCCATAAAGTTAATATAAATCTAAAATGTATAACCTTGCTTCAAATAATTCCGCTTCTCTGCCAACACATCTGTGATAATAGTCAGCTGTTGGAAGTTTTTACCGTATGATTACAGTAGGTTCCCATTGCAGTAATCTCATACCAAAAAATTACCATCTGTCATTCGCTTTAAACAAACAAAGATGCCAATGTTAGTAATACAGTCAGAACAAGATAGATTAGGACTACGGTTATAGGTAAAATATGTTCGTATTCATAGTCCGAATGTCAGAATTAATTCAAATATTATTATTAAATATTTGAATATTATCATTTAATAATTATTATACTAGCTATCGCTCGCCTCTACGTCCGCATGGATTATAAAAAAAATAAAAGTAAGTAGCTTATGTGTACCAGACTATACTCTACATCTATGTTAAATTTCATCAAGATTCGTTCAGCAGTTTAGACTACAAACTCAAACAAACCTTTCTAATCAGTTCATTCCCTACTAGCATGGGATTACATTTAACGATATTTCTACGTTTTATTACAATCTAGTGTTGCCATAAGATGTGACATTCGAGTCGTATTCTTCACGATGCCGTTGTTAACCTATGGATTTAAAAATAACCAACTTCTTACTTTATATTTACTGGAAGTACTTTTTCAAGCTTTAGATCCCAATCTTTCTCATTGCAACAGCTACGTCAAATCTTTCACTGAGATCCCAAATAACTTTGATCGTATAATGTTTACATAAAACAGTCTGCGGTTTTGTATGCACGCACTGATACTAAACATATCTATTTCTGGAGTAAGAGTTTGAAAAATAAATAATTCGGCAGTGCTCGATTGCGGCGGCACGGCCGCATAGAGAAATTATTGAATTTTGCTACAATATGCATTTGATTTATTCGTGTTAAAAATCACAAGCAATAGAAACTATTTTGTTAGAGTCAATCTGAAGTAAACAATTAGATTATCTTTGAATTTCTTCGCCGATATGTGCAGGTTGTATCACGATGTTTTCCTTCACCGTAAGAACGTCGGGTAAATTATGTACATATGAAAATTCGAAAGATCGAAAATCACATTGGTACAGCGGGATTCAAACCCAAGACCTGTAGATTACAAGTCAAGTGCTTAAACCACTGAGCCACCGACGCTATAACAATTAATTTATTCTCTAATATTAGTATGGACTATAGATTGATCACTCACACTGGCCGAAGTGAGCCATTACTTTTTCTTTCTCGAAATTTATACGCAAAAATCAACTAACATCAAAACTACGATCAAATCTACAAATTAATAAACAATTAAATTAAATAATTATTTTAATTAAACAATAAATTAATAATAAATAAATCTTCATTTAAAGTCTTCAAAACTCAAGAGGTACGAACATCGTGAATATTCCACGCAATTCCGCTGCTTTGAGATCCTAGGAAAAGTTACCATTATTACTAACTTGTACAAGAGTCATTAAATAATCACTAAGAGATCCATTATTTATTGAATGTGGCAATATCATCATCATTATCCTCCTTATTCTACTTCCGTAGGGTCGGCACAACAGGTTTTTGTCCTCCAAATAACACTATCATCCGTCATCATCTTTTTGATCATGTCACCTTTCACGCAATCCATCCATCTCTTTCTACGTCTACCTCTACCTATGTACCCTTACTCCCGTAGGGTCGGCGCGACAGGTTTTTGTTCTCCACATAACTTTATCATACGTCATCTCAGTCATCATCTTTTTGATCATGTCACCTTTCACGCAATCCATCCATCTCTTTCTACGTCTACCTCTACCGATGTACCCTTATTCCCGTAGGGTCGGCGCAACAGGTTTTTGTCCTCCACATAATTCTATCATACGTCATCTCAGTCATTATCTTTTTGATCATGTCACCTTTCACGCAATCCATCCATCTCTTTCTAGGTGGCAATTAACATATTGCTTACAAAAAATCTCATCTTAGATTTCAAGTTTATTTTTTAAAATTGGTATTATTATAATAATATTCAAACGGGTAAAATCGATAACTTAACTCGCTTTTCATAGAAATCTGCATGGTTACAAGATAGATGGACAAAATCTTGTCGCTTTCTTAACAACCCCTACCCTGCTAAATGCACTTTACTATCCCTATCTCTATATCAAAAGGATGAGGAATGAAAAACTATAATTAACCCTTTGTAAAATATATAAGTGGTCTTATAAATTAAGAGCGACCGCACACATTTGACTAGAATATCGCACTATGCGATTGTCCATTATTTCGCGGCCAATACAACTGTTTAGTTGCACAACTAAAAATCGTGTATGCGCACTATATAAGCTCGTACAATCAAAGCGAGATTAAACAGTTTTGCTATAATTTAGTCAAAGATTATTCTACTGAATGCAAACCTAGTCAAAAGGGTTGTTAAGCCCTGGCTTTTTATCTGTTAACTAGTTGCTCCCATTCGACTACATCCGCATAAAATTGTAAAATTTATCAAGTTCTTAATTGCATATGTCAAAATACCTATGACCTTACTATGGCAATCTTGCTTCTTGATGTTGGCAACTCGTATCGTATGGTCCCTTTCCCACATTAGGGTTTTTATCAAAATATTTACCCCCTAACTTTAATGGCGTGAAAATATATAGCCTAAAGCCTGACGTTAGTGTAGGGCTTTTTATTAAATAAAGAATTATTCAAAAATATGGTGTAATTGCTGACATCTTAGGCAACATAGAAGTGTGTGTTTACGCTTTATTATAATAGTATAGATAAGTGGTTATTGTATTTTATCAAATAATAATAATAATGTTCGAGATATAAACTTTCTAACGCGATAAGATAAATGTTATTTTAACCCGACAATAATATTCTAGGATACATTTATTTTTAATCTTCGTTTCATTTATTAACTCTCGTTTCATTTATTTAATTTATGTTTCATTTCAAACTAGCCGTAGGGTAACTCAACTAAAATCGACCTACAGATCACCTCACCGTTCACCTATTTGCAGATCAGTGCCGGCTCACATATTAACTCAATTTGTACCTGCATATAGTTATGCTTTCAAGTCACCGGTCTACCATAATTATATTAGATAACATTGACCCATCTGCTAATACAATTGAGCTGTAGCTCAACCGTTCTTAGTGAGCCAATTTTGATTTAGCTCGAAAGTGATTTATCTATTTCGAACAGAATACTTACTGGTGTCCGCCTATGCAGTAGTGTGCCGACAGGACTTGGTATCTTGGTAGGCGTACTGCCGTGCGGGCTTCTAGCTGCAATAGAAAACAACAATAAAAAATTTAATAAATAGAGGTTGCAGTACATTACTTGTTAAATAACTACCCCTATATTACTTACTAGCTGTTGCTCGCGACTTCACCCGTGAGAAATTAAAAAATACAGCCTATGTTACTGATAACAAAGCTTTTTAATGGTGACAAATTTTTTGAAATTGGGCCAGTAGTTTTTGAGTTTCACTACATACAAAAATACAAATCTTTTCTCTTTATAATATTAATCTAGACTACTATAATAATACGAAAGTTGGATGTATGTTTGTTAATTTGTAGCCTAAACTTCCCGGATCTCAATGGAATTTGCAATAAATATATACTCTGGAAGAACACATACACTTTTGTTTTTTTTTTAAATCATTATTTGTCAACACTTGTGTGTAAAGGGGACAGTTGAAAACCAGCGTATGAGCAAAAACTAGTTACAAACAATAACAATCATCATCATCATCACCAGCTCACTATACGTCCCCATCGAGGGGCTCGGAGCCTACCCTAAGTAAGGGATAGCTAGGTTATAGTCAACCACGCTCGCCCACTGCGGGTAGATTTCACACATATCTTTGAATTTCTTCGCCGATATGTGGATCACGATGTTTTCCATCACCGTAAGAACGTCGAGTAAAAAATGAACATATGAAAATTCGAAAAATCTAAAATCACATAATAATAATTGCTTGATATTATTACCAAGGTGAACAGGTGACATATGACATTACAAACACGCATCACGTAACATCAAGGCATCAGAGTGAAATAAAAAATATGTGTCATTGAATAAAGCGAGATAGAAGATCTATAAATAACACTTCGATCTTTAATCTATGCAAATACAAATAACGTATTTTAACCGCCGAAACAATATATTGTCATCTCTATTATTCTCTATGGGGTAAAAGAGACAAAACATGTTTTTATACGATATGTAATTGACAAAGTACAGAATTGTGCCATTCTTTTCTCAACTAATATAATAAACCGTAAATAATCACTACGTTTATGCAAGATGTCGGAAATCACAGTATATTTTTTATTAATTATTTTTATAATAAAAATCCCTACAGTTACGACACGCTATAGTCTAAATATTTTCACCCTATTCAATTTAGGGGATAAGTAAATTGGAAAAAAGTCACGGGAAAGGGACAATAACTACAATCCAATAGCAGCAAAGATTGCCAATGGTAAAAGCCTTTGTTGTCATTTGTGCATTTGAATTTTTACATTTGCAAATAAAATCTAGGGAATGTAAACAATAAACTAACGTTTTTTATATCATAAAGTGTCACAGAAAGACCGCCCATACATATATACTGTCTACTTTTATTTGACAGAGAGGACTCAAGAATATTTCCCTTGCATCCTGCATCTTCCGTCAAATCTTTTTATACCACTGACATTTTAGTCGTCAGAGACTTTGTGGTTCCGTTTATTCTTACATTCTTTACAATATTATTTTATATAACAGTTTGATTTATATTTAGTTTTACTTTTAATTGGTGCTATCGATTTCAGTTGCGGTGGCCCTTCTCTCTTTGTTTTCTCTACCCTTACAAGATGCTTGATATAGATGTTTCGATTTCTACACGACCTTTTGTCACTTTCGTTTGGTCACACACGAGCGAGCCGGTGGGCGAGAACTAGTGTTACGTTTGTAACTAAATCTATATTACATACTCAGAGATCAACGACTTTCATGCTTTCACGTACACTTTGTATGATAACTTGATGTTGCATTACCGTCGGTTTCCACTGAAAGTGTACCCATAAAAAGGTCAAGTTATTATACTAGCTTTTGAACGCGACTTCGTCTCCGTAAAATTAGTAAACATAGCCTATTTTACTCACTGATAACGTAGCTTTTCAATGGTGAAAGAATTTTTGAGATCGGTTCAGTAGTTTTTGAGTTATTTCAATACATACAAAAATACAAATCTTTCCTCTTTATAATTTAAGTACAGAAGTACAAATTTAAATAAATAAATAAAATAAACTTATTTCAGTGTAAACTATAGACAGGATCTTACCCCAAATAAACAAAGTCAGGTAAAAAGGGTATATTCTATACTTCTATACTATTATAATAAAGCGTAAACACACACTTCTTTAATTCTTTTTTTAATAAAAAGCCCTACACTTGCGTCACGTTTTAGGCTATATATTTTAACGCCATTGAACTAAGAGGTAAATGTTCTGGATAAAAACCCTAATGTGGGAAAGAGACCATAAGTTACTGCCAACATCAAGGAAGCAAGGTTGTCGTCAAATCATGTCATTTTGACATTTGGAATTGATAATTTGACAAATGTAAACAATAAAATAAAAATTTCTTAATTTCATGCGGATGAAGTCGCACGAAACAACTAGTCCATTAATAATAACAAAATTCTTTACGCAACTTTACCCCCCTTTTCAGCCCCATCTTAATTTATAGTCCCTACAGTCTAGCTAGTCTAGACAAAACATTTGAGGTCAACGATCTCTATTACCTTATAAGGGTTGTACCTTTCGCTCAAACATACCTTATAAGGAAAACAAATTGAACTGCATTCCTTTATAAATAACTCTGTCTGAATAACTTGGTGGATATAACATTGTTTCGTAGTTATCTATACTTCTATACTAAAATGGAAATTTTATGCGACGAGACGATGGGGACATAAACCAGAAAGTGTTAAGATTGAATGTGGATGGCTACAAAGGAAGAGGAAGACCGAAGAAAGTATGGATGGATTGTGTGAAAGAGGATATGCTTAAGAAAGGAGTGGATTCAGATATGACGGCTGATAGAGATGTATGGAAGAGCAGCACATACTGTGCCGACCCTCCGTAAGGGATAAGCGCAAGTGGATGATGATGTTGACTTCTATACTAAAATAATAAAGCGTAAACACACACTACTTCGTGGCGTAAGATGTCAGCAATCACAGCATATTTTTGAATAATTCTTTCTTTAATAAAAAGCTCTACACTTACGACATGTTTTAGGCTATATATTTTCACTTTATTAAACTTAGGGGGTAAAAAAATTGGAAAAAACCTTAATGCGTGAAAGGGGCTATAAACTACAAGCTACCAACATTAAGGAAGCAAGGTTATTATGGTAGAAGTAATTTTTTTACATTTTTATAATTTAATGCGGATGAAGTCGCACGGGAACAGCTAGTGTACTAATATATGCTACCATTAGTCGATTACTTCTCCTTTCGTACCTAGCTTTTAAAAAGTAACATAAATCTATACTCTATGTTTAAAAATTCTTTCACTTTTAAAAATTTAATTTATCTGTGAATAACATAGGTTATGCTTTTTATAATTCAATTTCACGCGGATGAATTCGCGAGCAACTAGTATACAATAAATAAATACAAACTTGTTACATAAAATTGTAATAATTAGAAGAAACTTTTATTTGTTTAAAAGGTATTTCAGTCAACAACAAGCATACACTTAAGGAATCCATCACACAAAGCATTGTAGTCTTGGGTAGTACACGTACGAAGTACTAAAAAGTAATGTTACTGGGCACTGTACTAAAAGTAACGTTACCGAACAGCTTCTGTTAATCGGACATTTAGTACTTTTAGCACACTACACGATATCGGTGTTCGCCTTTTTGTCAGATTGAAGCATCCACCTTCGATAATGAGAATCAAAAATGGATAAAATTATTCATAACTAAATTTATTTTCGCTAATAACGTATGTTTAACCATGCTTAAAATTTGATGTGAAGTAATATATAACCCTCGTTATATTCTATTCACGTATTGTGTTTTCACAAATCTGAAGTACTAAAGGTACTAAAAGTGTGTACTAGTACGTTTTCCCAATTGTACTAGTACGGTGCGCACTTGCAGATGTCCGATTAAGCCCAAGACTAAAGCATTGTATATCTCTTTCTTTATAATTGACAAATATCGCTAGCTATCGTCTCGCTTACGCATTTCGTGTGACATATGGTTGAGTAAATAGTGTTGCACTTATGACGTAATCAAGCGTTAAAAATATCGCACACGTGTTTACATTAATGACGTAATTAATCGATTACAGTAGAACTACATAAGGAATATTATTCTATATGACTAGATTTGGCTCGACTCGAGCGGAAGTAAACAAATTTGGTAATCGATTTTTCAATCGATAAAAATTTTTAAATTTATTTTTTAACATAACAGTACACAACATTGCAATATAAATAAATCCAATATTAACTCAGTCTGCTCTTGTCCCTAAGTAGTTTGTGCACAGTATGTAGTATTGCATACATTTCTATCAGCTGTCATATTTGATCACTGCCTTTATATCATCCAACTCAAAAATATTTCCAATGTAAAATTATTAATGTTACAGTTTTTTGGTCAACTCTATTCTTAACTTATATCTATATTATAAAGATTTGTATTTTTGTATGTATTGGGCTGATTTTAAAATTCTTTATAGTATTGAAATATCAATATAAGAAAAATATAATATTCAGTAAATACTTACGTTTACCAGGCAAGCAGCGTGGACTGAGTGGTGCGCTGTCAGGATATGAGATGATTAAGTCTGCATCCTTTGCTAAGGTATTGTTGTTATAATTCTTTACACTCTCCGCCCAATCTTGTATCCAAGTTTTGTCACCTTTACATCTATTTAGACTCATATAAGACAACCTTCCGACCATCTGATCCGGTGTAATATCTGATGATATTCCACTGTCATCTTGTAATGCTTTCTGGGCATTTTTTAGTGCGCTACTCTCAAATGTACCTTCAAATGGGACACCTTTACTAGGCAATGATACTGGGACTGAAGACTCTCTTGACAATCGGTGGATGTAATCAGTCTTGTCTATTTCAGATTTAGTTAAACTGCAACGTCTCCTCACAGGTGTATCTATCTTAATAGAATTTTTCATACTTAGTACTCCTGAAGTTGTGACAGAAGTAAAGCTACCAATGTCTTGATCTTCGATTACTTTCGGTTTAGGGAAAGTCTTTTCCGTTATCGTCCGTACTCTATTTTTTATTTTCTCTAAATAACTTCTTGTTGATTTTATTTGTTTTGATGTTTGTACCGCTAAGTCATTTTCGTTAGGAGATTCATAACAACAGGAGATTTCTAATACGTTTTTGTCTTTGGAGACTTTGTTTGGGATGTCAAAGGCTGTGTGGGTGACAGGGGAACGTAGACCAACTTCCCTTCTCGGTTCTTTTGTTATCACCCTTTGTGGATTCGGGAAATCGAACACTATCTCTGGATCTCTTTCTATATTACGTTTGTTTATCGAATTGTCTATGGCTTCCTTGAGTAAATCTGCACCGAAAGACCTGTCTATACTCATTCTAGCTTTTTGTTCTTCTGTGTAATTGTCTGCTTCGATAGTGTATGTCCCAGTTGATGAATTATTAGATTGTCTATCCATTTCATCATCTATAAACAATGCATGGGGTTTCGGAGGACACTTATTGAATAATAAATCAGGAGTTTCTGACATCGCTCTCACTTTTATTGTGGGACTTCTAGATGGTTCTGGAGTGGATAAACCATTGTCTGGTGTAAGGATATCTAATTCAGGACTAGAGATATCTGTTATCATTATACCTTCGGGACTTTGGTCTATTATGTTGGCCATGACATGCTTGTGATAGCTAAGGTTGCTGTAACTTGGTGTTTTATGAATGACAGTTGAATTAGAGTTGCTAGCGGACAATGGCAGTATTAAATTTTGTCGAGAACTGAAATTCTCACTTCTAGACATAATGCTATCGACTATCGGACTTTTTGATTGTTTCTTTGGTTGTAATGAGTCAGTTATAGGTGATTTTATATGCCTATTTGTTATAGGACTGGTTACAAAGGTTTTATCAACATTTTGTGCAAGAGGGCTGCTTTTAAGTTTAACAGAGTTGGAAACACCACTGTCTTCTTGATCGGAGGAGAAGTAACCTTCGGAATTGTAACCTTGAGCTTTTCTTGGGAGTTTTACTGACATAGGAGGTCGCTGAATAGTCGGGCTTTGTCTAGTTGTGCCAGCGGACATCGACTGCACTCTTTGGTGCCGTGCCTGAGACTTTTTTGCCAGTTCTTCCAGTCTTCGGTTATCAAATCTTTTACTCTCCCCAAAATCGACTGTGAAGGCCATCGGATGCGGTTTGGGACTCGTGGGCTCCGATTTTTCCTGACCTGCCTCAACGCCATCGTTCTTTTCGCCTTGGTTGTCCGATGATGATGTTGGTTCGTCGCAAACGGTGCTCTGCCCTTCCGATAAAGGGCTGGATACGTCGTCGACACTAACACTCATATTTTCAAGGATTTAATGACATCATAATTCACGAAAACCACCGCACTTTCGCAATTATTTCTTTTCACTTTGAAGTAAAAAGCACGAAAAATAAAGCACAGATTTTCTAGAAATAAATATTAAGAATCGATTCGAAAAGTGGAACGAGAGCAAAGGAAAAAATAAAAAACGAACTACGCCTACAACATACGTTCGCGACTAGATTTCGTTCGCGAATCGTACGCAATGCATAGACACGACCAAAGCAAAACTATAATAAACTCTACGTTCAACTTTGCCTTTGCAAATTGGATTTCCTTTGTCCCATTTATTGAATACTTTGTCGTTTTGTGGCAACTCTAGTCAGATTTTTAAAATGGTATATTTATATAGATATAAACGTCGTAGTCTTTCTGCCAGTGAATTATAAATAAATAATTTCACATAAAAAATGATTTTTATTCGTTTGTATTAAATTTGGAGAGCAATTTAAATAAAACAGCAGAAAAAGCAGTATTTAGAACCGAAATCTTCTCTTTAATATTTTACTTTTATATTTGATTTTCAAGACATCGAAAATCTGTTGCGCTAACGGAACACAGTTCCAATGTCAATTTACCTCATCCACAGATAATACAAAAATTTGGTGGGAACATCAGTCACAGGAAGAATGGCAGATGCAGCGTTTTCCAGGGATGGAAAATATTATTCTGCCCTGACTCATGACGGCAGGTTAAGAATATGGGATACAGAAACCAATGTCCTCAAACAAGAGTACACTCCAGATCTACATTTAACCGCACCACCACTATGTTTGCAATGGATAAGTGTCACACAATCAGTGAGTACACACACGTGGTTTTTTAAGAGCTTTGTAATAATTTAAACTCTTTTTCCATCATTTGCCTAACAGTTTTAATACTATTTTATAGATATCTCCACTTGTAATGTTGTTACTCAATAAAAGCTTAGCAAAAATCTTTAAAGTTTTGACATAACCTTTTCAGGTTTCACCACAAAAAGGCGGTCGAAGGAAATCAGTTAGTGAAAATGAAACACAAGCAATAGCATTAGGAACAACCAGTGGAAAGATTCTATTATATTCTGTAGCACAAGGGAAAGTGGAATCAGTGTTAGTTGACCAGAAAAATCATATAAATAACAAAGTAAAGAGTCTTGATTGGCATCGAAAGTATGGATTGTTAAGTTGTACAGGAGACAATAGTGTCCAGGAATGGGACCTGGAGACAGCTAAAGTTAGACATAGGTACAAAATAAATGTTGATAATAAGAGTAAACAAACAAATGGTGTAAGCGCAATTAAAATAATTCCACACAGTGAGGTAATTAATGACAGTATACATTATTTTTCTTAATTTTAGGCTAATAAAACTATGCATATCTCTTATATGTTAAAAGATACCAATACTAGGTTAACATTATATAGAGAAAATATTTATATTTTGTATGTATTGAAACAACTCAAAAAGTACTGGACTGATTTCAAAAATTCTTTCACCAATGAAAAGTTGTGTTATCACCGAGTAGTAGGCTATATTTATTGCTATTTTAATTCCATTGTGACATATAAAACATACAAAATGAAAGAAAACATAGATATCTAAACATTAAAAGCTAAATTTATGATATTAATTGTTTTGTACTTTATCGGAAACTTGATTCTAAAAATCAAACCAAATTTAAGAGATTCACACTAACTTTATGTACTTTATATTCAAATTGAATTTTAACAAAAATAAAATTAACCACATTGTCTATAAAAGTATGGTATCTAAGATATTTAATTAATTTGAGTATTTTCTGTATTATTTTCAGCAAACATCAGCAAAATATATCGTAGCAGCATCATGGCAACTCAGGATATGGCGTTTGCAAGACAATCAGGCAACGTTAGTGAAGAATTTAGGACACAATGCATCTCCAAAGGCATTACTCTCCTTAGCAATATCAGGGAAGACTTGCTGGCTTATAGAAGGATCACAGTATGTATTTATGATAATTTCAATAGCTCTTATGTAGATAATCATAACCTATAATACTGTGATTTACACTTTGTTGTATGTTTTTTAACTAGTGGAATATGAAACCATTTTTAAAACACCTAGTACATATCTCTGGCCCATTGTATTTTTTTTAATAACAGAAGGTGGCAAATGAGCAAGTGGCCACCTGATTCCACCAAAATGGAAAGTGACCTCTGTCCATAAACATCCGCAATTGCAGATCCGTTGCCTACCTTAATTAACAGAGGAGAAGATGCACATAAACATTTCCCCTTCTTATGCGTCTCCTCCACCAACAAATCCACTTTTCCTTCCCATCCTCTTAAGCAAAGGGTGGAAAGGGAAAGGGACTAAAATTAGGCCTCTGACAACACACTCATTAGACGAAACGCGGAATTGCTTCCAGTTCATGCCTGTTTTCTATGTGGTCGTGGTATTACACCGGGCGAGTCGGCCCATTCGAGCAAAGATTGTAAAGCAGGCTCTACCACTTGCAGCTTGACTCTAAAGATATCTATGAATTTCCTCACAGATAAAATTTTTTTAGATAAATGTACCGTTTCGAAATTCCGCAGTGTTCCACTTTTGGAAATATTACCTTGTTTATTGCAACAAGACAAATAACTTATTAGATATTTTCGTACATACACATATATAAGCTGCGTTTTATCGAGTTTTGTTCCGTAACTCGTTTTAAAATGTTCAAACGATTTTAGCTTTTAAGAGAAACCGACAATTTCCTTGACTGTACATATCTTCATCCACTTGCCCTTATCCCTTACGGAGAGTCAGCACAGTATGTGCTGCTCTTCTATACATCTCTATCAGACGTCATATCTGAATCCACTCCTCTCTTAAGCATATCCTCTTTCACACAATCCATCCATACTTTCTTTGATTGTACATATAAAATTCATAAATTGAATGAAACACACAAACATTGTACACAAATACAGTAATAACTACTGATAAAATACTCTAACAATAATATTACATATAATACTAGCTGCCCGCCCCGGCTTCGCCCGTGGTACTTACATGTATTGTACATATAAACCTTCCTTAAGAATTACTCTATCTATTAAAAAAACCACATCTGCAATGTTTTAATTTCGTCAAACTGGTAATGACGTCAATTTTGGGAGAAGGGGGGGGTCATTAAGAAATGACGATAGGATGATTGTATGGGGGGGGAGGTCTAAAGTCTGAAAAAATCGATGACGTAATTTATGGACGGCCCCTATTTGGTCAAACCTAATTTAAACCTTACTATTTCCAGGAACGAAAGACTTCTATCATTCTGGGATGTAACAATCATGGACGACCTAACTAATGGTGATGAACCAACACCAAACAAACGTCAAAGAAAGAAATCTACCAGCGCACCGATTGTGGCAACACCGACTTATAACTTCGTTCTAGAGGATGCTCCTAAAATTATTGACGTGAATGTGCAAACTGAAGAAGGTGGTACCAAGTTACAGTTGGCTGCGGCAACAAGAAGTGGTGTTGTTCATTATTACGGACATATGCTTAATGGGTGAGATTTGTAATTAAAATTGCTTATAATATAGATTATAAATTTTTCTTAGGCAAATTTAATGCAACTCTTTCTTACTTTTTAATTGGAATGAAATGATAAAGTATTTATATGTTTACTAATATTGTAAATGTGAAAGTTAACGTAGATGAATGATTGTTAGAGATAAAATTGGTGACATTTTTTTTTAATAAAAATATTAGTAGGTTTTTGTTATTTTGCTAATGTTTCTTTTAACCATTCCAACTAAGCTCTAGGCTTGTATTAGGATAAAGTTCACCACAATAGTCGAACGGCGGGATTCGAATCCTCGACTGCAACATTGGTAGTCCTTACCCCAAAGTATTGGGCTATTAGCGCTTAATATACATATGTACAATCTGAACGCACAACCAGATTACTAAGTTTCTTTTTAATTCGCACGCAAACGAAGTCCCAATCTTTACTAATATTATAAAACGATAGATTTGTATTTTTGTGTATTGAAATAACTTAAAAACTACTGGGAGGGTTTCTAAAATTCTTTCACCAATAGAAGCTATGTTACCACTGAGTAACATAGGCTATATTTATAATAATTTCTTAATTTAACATAGCCGAGGTTACAGCAACAGCTAGTAGCTAATATTAAAATACTAGCTTTCGCCCGCAACTTCGTCCGCGTGGAAGTAAAAAAAAAAACAAAACTGAGTAGCCATGTGTTCCAGACTCTCTACATCTATACCAAATTTCATCAAAATCCTTTCAGCCATTTAGGCTACAAACTCTAACAAACATTCATCTAAACTTTCGCATTTATAATATTAGTACGATGTTTATTATTGTAAGTTCAAGAAATTGAATTATTAAATATTTTTTCCAGCGCATCAACAAAACCAATAAAACCATCAGTTACGGTACAAGTGACAACAGCTGATGCCACTCCGCTGCCCCTTCAGTGCTGTTGTTTAACAACTACGGGAGATTTACTTCTAGGATATACTAATTCTATTATATGGACGTTCGAACGACTTGTAAGTATTTTTTTTATAATACAAGATGGCAAACGAGCAAGCGGTCTGAATCCACCAAAATGGAAAGCGATCGCTGCACATAAACATCCGCAATCGCAGCGCTGCCTACCCTTCATTGACAGAGGAGACGCACATAAAGAGGACATTTCCCTTCCTATGCATCTCCACAATCAAATCCACTTACCTATTAAGAAAAGGGTGAAAAGGGAAAAGGACTAAAATTAGGCCTCCGGCACCACACTCATCAGAGTATAGGCGGAATTACTTCCACTTCAATCCTGTCTTCTGTGTGGTCGTGGTATTGTTGGGGGCGAGCCGACCCTACATTGCGAATATGTTAAAGCGGGCTCTACGGGGAATTAAAAAATAAATGTGTCGCCTATGTGTTCTGTGACTGTCTACATATATGACAATCATCGAGAACCGTTCACTTTAGGCTAAAAACTCTAACAAACATCCATAAACTTTTGCCTAGTACTAAAGTCTAGTAATTACTACTACTATGGTTATCAACTCCTACTACTAGGCTAGTAATTTAATCGAGTACCAAGTAAATAGCTAAATTACAATAAAATCAGTCTGAGATTTGCTAACTTTTGCTAAATATTAGTTCAAACGTTTTTTAGTTACTTGGGCCATAGTTATTACTATTTTTATTTTCCTGCTGAAGAAGACGAGAGCAATAAATTATCATACCAATATTATAAATGCGAAAGTTTAGATGGATGTTTGTTAGAGGTTGTAGCCTAAACTGCTGAACATCTTGATGAAATTTGGCCCAGACGTAAAAGATAGTCTGGAAGAACACGTAGGTTACTCATTTTTATTTTTTTTAATTCCACACGGACGGAGTCGCGGGCGAAAGCTAATCTATGCTATTATTACAATGTAGTATTTTTGTATGTATTGAAATTACTCAAAACCTGGCCGATGTTAAAAATTCTTCCACCATTAAAAAGGTAGTAAAAAATAAATTTATTGTTTAATAATTTTAAAGTGCTATATATTAATATTTTTTTCAGACGCCAGATTTAAGTACAAAAACACAAGTTTTAATACGAGGTGATACGAAGGACAGAAAGAAACAGAAACAAACCAACGAAGTGAACAAAGTGCGTTCTGATAGTAAGAATGACGTCACATACGTGGAGCCGATGGGCGGTGTTACTAGGAAACGGACCACGCCCGGCGGACAGGTTAGTGTTATAGTTACTGTGTCTAAAAATTTTGTTTTGTTACTAATAATGAAAATTTCCTAAGGATGTTGGCAATCGTTACTAAAATGTTGACAACTTAAAGATGTCTGCAACAGTTACTAGAAATTTTGACAAGTTACTCTTTAGTAACTATATCTTATACAAACAGTTACCAAAAAATATTAGCAAGTTATTGAAAATATCAGAAACTAGCTGTTCCCGTGGATTTACTTGGGTGGCACATTTTCTTATCTGTTTCTGTATCAATCTGTATGATGCCGCGCAATTTTGACAGCTGTCACAATAAACACTTCGTAAATTAAAATCATCTACCCATTTTTTCTCTATACTAGCTGTTCCCATGCGATTTTATCCGCATATAAAAACTTTATTTCATTATTTTACATTCGTCAAATTCTCAATCGCAAATGTCAAAATCTTGTTTCCTTGATGTTGGCAGCTACATATGGTCTCTTTCCCACATTAGGGTTTTCTCAACACACACTTGTTTGTTGCCTAAAATGTAAGCAATCGCAACATATTTTCGAATAACTCTTATTTTAATAAAAAGCCCTACACTTACGTCACGCTTTAGGCTATATATTTTCACGCCATTAAACTTAGGGGGTAAATATTTTGGATAAAAACCCTAATGTGGGAAAGAGACCATAAATTGCTGCCAACATAAAGAAAGCAAGATTGCTAAGGTTTGTCATTTTGATATTTGCTATTGATAATTTGACAAATTTAAACAATAAAATGATTTTTATTATTCTAGGGGGATGAAGTCGCACGGGAACAGCTAGTCTCTATATAAAAATACGTTTTTTTTATAATTTCCAGGTGGAAGTGTCTATGGAAGCAAGACTTGCTAACTTATCCCTAGATGTGAAAAGTCCAGGAAAATCAGCAGTTAATCAGAACTTAACTAAGTTATTGATGCAAGGATTACATTCTAATGACAAGAAGTATGTAATAGTTATAATATAATATAATTTATTTGACGGTTTTCGCGAAACAAATGGTTATTGTGCGACAACCTTAATAGATATGCTATCGCGGACTTTTATTTAGCAAATTTAATGGGCTACAATTCTTCCATACATCATTTTTATGTAAGTCTTATAGTTTAGGCTATGAAAGCAAAGAAAACAAAAATGACCCAAAATTTCGTTACGCGATTTTGAACTAAACTATTTAACTACGTAGTCTTAGACTCCAAAAATCAAACCAAAAAATGGGACCCACCTAAAAGCATTACCTTTCGGATAAAAAAAGAATTATCAAAATCGGTCCAATAGCGGCGGAGTTATGCCGTAACACACATAAAAAAAAACATACAGACGAATTGATTACCTCCTTTTGGGAAGTCGGTCAAAAATGGTTAAATAGTCATCTATACTTATCTAATTAGGAAAGATTTGTATTTTTGTATGTATTGAAA